AGGGAGAACTGAACAGGACTAAAGGAGAGCACCAACACAGCAGGCGTACCTGTATCTGCTCCTTTTTGCAAGACAGAACAGAAGCTGCCAAACAAACTGTCCGAAACATATATATGTATGTATATATGTAGTATATGTATATACTATATGAGCTTGGTGTGAAGTTCCAGTGATGTTTAGTGCCTACTTGCCATGCAGCTTGATTGGCAAAGAATGCCATAAATGGCAGTTCTGCCAATGAGGCTATTCCCCCGACCCCAAGTGGTTGGACTATTTCAGTCATCCAACCCCAATTATAAATTAGGGTTTCTACTTAAGGAGAAAACTGTTCTGATTGAAAATGTCAACAAAAATATTGATTCCTTAAAACAAACCTAGTAAAGCAAGTCATCTAAGATCCTTGAGGTGTGAATATTTTAACTACTACAACAGCAGAAAAATTACCTCCAGCCACCAGTGATGAGTAATGCAGAGATTGGATTTAGTTAATACTGTAAATTTCTCAGAGTGCCAGTGGGGAAAGTATGCAAGCAGTGTAGGTGTATGCTTTCAGTGTTGCTGGTCTTTAAAAGGCTTGTACTTAAAACTACAATTCTGATAGGCAATGCTAATTGTTGTCTTCATCTCACTTGTGCTTCGTAGCCTTGAATGCAGTGCTCAAAGTAAGGTTAATTTGAATATTTGCATGCATGAGGAACTAGCTTGTCCGTGTTCATGTCGACTCTGTTGATTATAAGTTTGATTTCAGATTATGGTAATGATGAATACAACATTACAGTCTTGTGTCTCTACTTTAACCTCCTAGGGCCCGGCGTCCACATATGTGGACATCACATTTTGGGTTATTTAGACCAAAATATTCAATTTTGCTCTACAAGGGCCTGATATCCACTTACGAGGACATTATACTGCTACTGTTCTATCAAAATTTTAAAGGAATATCCTCATATTTGGCTCTTATTTTTCTTAAAAACAAAAATAAGGTAAAAAAAAAATCTGGTAGTTCTTTGTTTTTACATTCATCGGGCCCCAATATGCCCAAATATCAAAGAGAAATTAAAAATGCATACTGTGGAAGAGTTCGGGTCTTAGGAGGTTAAGGTGTGTCAAGTTGTTGTGAAAAAACCTCAAATATCCAAATCCATCAAGACCGGCTGAAGAGTTACTATATCCAGCAGCCACCGTCATGTTCTGTAACTACTGTGGTGTAAGTCAGAAATGGGATCTAGTATTAGATTTAGTGTTAGTGTTAGTGTTCACATCTAATAACATCTAATTAGATTAGATGTGAACACAGCTCATCTTGAAGTGGTTTAAAACAGTGCTTTTACAAACTGCTTTGCCTGAAGTCTAAAAATGCTCTTTTGAGAAAAACTGTAGCGCATTGTTTTGTCTGTACTTTGTATCAGATTCACCACAGCGTGTGGCAGGAGAATCTGCTCTGACACCATGAGACTGTGGACACAGATGAGTATGGCCTATCTCGATGGAAAGTCCCTTAAAAAAGAGTCCATGTTCATATCAGCATAATGCCAGTATCCATGGTGCTTTTTGTGTTATACCAATTAAACAAATACCTATGTGTTCTTTAAAGGATAATAAGTAAAACACACATGGCTAAATTATAAAAAAAATATTATGAAACAAATGTACCACTAAATTGTTAGAAATGAAAAAAAAAAGGTTTTTGCCTGTAACTCTTTAAAGCCTGACTCATGAAATAACTACCAGAAATCCAAGTATTTTGAAAATTAAATATTATTCAATATTTAATTTGTATATTTTAGCTTTAATTTGCATCATATTTGCTATATTTTATTTTATTTTTTTCTAATCTATTAGTTAAAAATGTAGTGTGCTCTTTGTTTTGGTTTTTCCAGGGGGGGAAACTGATGGTGTATAAGTCTCAAAAGATCTAAAAACTGTATGTATCTGTGGTGGGGGCGTGGTCTTTGGTCTGCTGCAGAGGAGGGGTGGCGCAGTGAGCTCACAGGGCAGCATGGAGGCGGGGAGGGAACAGGTGTACAGGACTGTTTAATGAGGGAGACCTGTCTTATGTCTTTGGCAGTGAGAAGAAGGATCACTCACTGGGAGTGACGGAGTGGCTGCATCCGAGGCTGGTGCCAGAAACCGCAGGAGGAAAAGAGTGTATTTTTCAATAAAGCACAGTTACAAGCACAACCCAGACCTGTGTGTATGTGGGTCCTGTGTCACAGTATCAAATATTATACACGAGGCATTAAGCGGTTAAACATTATGAACAACTGTTAAATAATTGCTTTATGATCTGTCACTGCAATAGGTAATATTTAGGAGTGGGAATCAGAGAGTACATACAGTAAGAGATACATCATAACACAATGGTATCATGAGATGTACACCAATAAAAAAGATCTCTACCATGATACAGTGTTTTGGCAATGTACAACATACTGCAGGACAATAATCTAACACATCAGTGAGTTTATATAAATTAGGAAGCAACTGTTTCAAGCAGAGCCTTGCATATTTCTGGCCCTTTGTAATGCTTTTTAATACAACAGAATGAATGAAGTTAATGTGAAAGTAGAACATGAACAGTTCCTCAGTATGCCAAAGCATTCCTGTTTCAACTTTTCTTTCACTTCTACACAAATTTCAGTTTGTGTGTGTGTCTTTAGTCAGCAGTGTACATCAGTGTCTCAGCTTCACAATTTAAAGTTCATGTAATCTGCTTTGCCTCATTTTGGTTATTTCTCTATACTGTTGCATCTTCAACACATCATAACATCTGTCAAAATATTGCAAACCATCTTTGATGGTCTAAAGTTTAGACCACCTAAGATGGTTAGATTGTTGCTAAGCTTAGTCCAAAGTGTAACAACATACCATTTAGTTGCCATTTTGAAATTCTGCGGAAAATTAGTCACTGGCACCCTGTTTGTTGCCCTGAGCTGGCTGTATGTCTGTGGTTTCCTATCTACATTAATAAATCCCTGCGGTATTTCATGTGTGCTAGCACAGCTGCACTGACCTCACTGACACAGAATCAGACAGAAACTCTTTTCACCAAACACAGACCTAAAAAGGCTCTAAAATGCTAATTAGTACATGTATTTAATGTAGTTTCTTCATGAGTGATGTATCCTGTGCTTTGATTTCAAATTTCTTCAATAAAAATGTAACATTTTTGCTTTTTTATACATGATTTGATTTTTGGAAGGTTTTCTTGTACAGTAACGCCCTCTTAACATTGCACAGGTAATCGCCAACCAACACCGGACATTTGTTAAATGTTCTTTAGGTCGGCAGTCTCCAACCTTTTTTGCACCACTGACCGGTTTATGTCCGACAATATTTTCACGAACCAGCCTTTAAGGTGTCGCGGATAAATACAGCGGTTGGGGACCGCTGCTTTAGGTTACAAAGAGGTGTACAAGTTCGAGTTCATATTACATTGCTTACATTGCCTGAACATGGTGAACAGCACCACCATCTTTCTGACCTAGGGTAGACTGAAGCATCAAATGGTCACTGGAGCATGTTAAGTAGGGACCAATGTGCCAGAAAAGCAAAAAAAGAAAAAGATTTGTTCAACTTTGTTTGTCAGCAAAGAATACAAAATCCAGCTAAGATTCATTTTCCAATTGCACATTAAATTATATATCTTTCTATTTCATTCTTATTTCAACAGGCTATCAGTGTGTAAGCTAACAGCAGCATAAAAAACATTTACAGTTTATTTATTCAAATCACAACATTTTACATTTGGATGCAAACATTTAGATCTCTTTATATGTCGTAAATGTCAGTCAAACATTTTGGGTACCTTGCATCTTGACCTCTGCTGGTTTTCTTTCCTTCTCCTCACAGATATCTTCAAGTGCCAGCGCCCTCCCATGGATAGCTTGGAAAAATGCAACAATTCCTTATATTCCTTAACCACTCTGTATGATTGGTAGGTCTAACCCTTGTAAATATACAGAGTCTCCATACATCCATGAGGATGTTAACTCTTTAGTTTAATGTTAGTATCACCTTAATTAAAGAAGTCTTTCTCTTTTTGTGAAAGAATGACTGCTCTCACGTCTCCCTGTGGGATTTTGTGACGTGCTGTAGTGATGTTACCACTTCATAACATTTATTCATATCTTCTCCAACCATGACTGCCGAACTGCACAACAGCCATGACACAACAGAGCTAAATATAACTCCTCCTATGCTCTTCCAGAAGAATGGATGACCTTAAACCATATAGGTTTAAGTGGGATGATGTAACATTTTCAGCATCACTGCACGAGTGCGGATTTAAGTATAACCTCACATATACTCTTAAATGCCATGACACCAACACGGGGAAATGTATTTCTGCAGTGTGGTTGCAGAAATGAGTAGATCGGCACTGAGCGCACAGAGAGACGCTCACCTCAAAAACCTAACAGTAGAAAGCTTCCGTGCTAGAAAGTGAGAGGAATTCACCATAACATATGCAGTTACATTAAAGTCCTTATTTCCACATCATTTTCCAGATTCCTTTGAGTTTAACAAAGTACTTATATATTTCACCAGCTTCTTTGTCACTTAATGATGGAAATATAACTATATGAAGGAGTCAACAAATCACTTTTTTAATTAAAAATTAAAAGAAACAAAGAGGAATCGCATCATATCCACTTGCCACAGTTGTTAAGATGGTGTTCTAAGATCTTCATGTTGTAGCTACAGGTATTTTCCATATAATTTTCATTATGAAAATAAATTATAATGATCGTTCCAGACCACATTCAACTGCAGTGGAAAATGCCTTAACACCCTCAGACCACCGTTGATGAGAGTGGAGAAACAAAGTGCAACACTGGTGAGCTGTTGTGGGAGGAAATTGTTCTACTACTTTCCAGCCGTGTGCGTATCTGTGGGTGCTTCACACCTTGCTGCAAGCGGAATAACTGAATGCTGAATGTGTCGGTGGTCTTTAAAAGGGCTTGCAGAGCAGTGCAAAAGTCAAATCTGTTTCAGCTACGGCCACACGATGAAGGGACTTACAATTATCTCGCTTTTGCTTGTAGCTATCATGGTATCTACAGCCGCTGCCCAAGGTAATGCATGGATTCTTCTATGGATGAATATTGAGTTCGTTTTTGCACGATTTCATGTTAGATTTGGATCATGCCGATGATAACACTGGAATCTTTTATCTTTATTTCAAGGTGGGATTTCAAGTTGTTGTCAGAGAACCTCGAACACCCAAATCCATCGAGACCTGCTGAAGAGATACTACATCCAGCAGCCGCCGTCGTGTTCTATATCTGCAGTGGTGTAAGTCAGAAAAATGATCCAATATTAAAGTATCCAAGTTTTTTCAAATGTTGAGCCCAAATTGTTCATGTATATTCTTCCCTTGCTGATTGTTAATTTTCTCTCTTTGTGATTTTCAACAGATTCACCACAATTAGTGGCAGGAGAATCTGTTCGGACAGTTCGAAAACATGGACGCAGACCAGCATGGCCTATCTTGATGGAAAAGACTGGCAAAAACGAAATAACACGGCAAAGAAATAGTGACACAAAATCTATGTTCACCCAAAATTGACATTACTATTTAAACTACAGATTTTGCCACGGACCTTAAATATTTGCTTATTTTTCTACCTTATCTAACTTTCGTGATGTTAATATGACATTGAATGTCTTCATTGGATTTCTGCATGTAAATATGTAAATAACATGTTATTGTGTATGTCCATATATTGGAAATGATATGGATTGAGATTGGGTAATAAAAGGTGTCACACTGTAATGGCTATATTGTGGTGACTGTATTTTTTTTTAAAGATTGCTACTGCATGTAGGTGCGTCCAGCGAGAAAAGCTTATATCTTGAGCATTTCTTCACTTCTTTATCTGACGTTTCTAAATGTCTCATCTTCATGAGAATATGACAAAACCAAAACGTTCCTTTATTAAGATGGCTAAGTCGATGAGGAATGTCACCCTCAGCACTGATGTTAGAGCGTTTTAAAATGGAGAAGCGATCCAAAAAAAATCCCACATCTAAAAGATCTGCCAGGTGTAAAACATTTATAGTTCAAGGCCTTTACTAAAATAGAGACAGAAACCATACTAGAAGGTTTCTAAACGTGATATAAAATGCTGCTTAAGTAAAGGTAAGCGTGATGTCCAATAGCTTAGTAGGCTTTATTATACATTTACTAAATAGATTGTCAATGATGGAATAATAGATGATAAGCATTTTACTGTTAATATGGTTGGGGAAGTTTTAAATAAATTCTAACGGAAGGAGGCTTTGCAAAGTTGAGTCTTCGCAAACCACAAGACTCAATCTTCAACACAAGACCAAAGTGAAGATGTTCGGCCACGATGTGCAACGGGATGTTTGGCAAAAACCAAACTCAGCACATGAACAGAAACACCTCATACCATCTGTCAAGTACAGGGGGAGGAGGGGGATGGTTTGGGTTTGCTTTGCAGCCACAGCACCTGGGCACCTTGCAGTCACTGAGTCAACCATGAACTCCTGTCTAAACCAAAGTATTCTCAAGTCAAATGTGAGACCATCTGTCCGACAGCTAAAGCTTGGCTGAAATTTGGTCAGGTATCAGTACAACGATCCCAAGCACAGGCACAAATGTACAAGGAATGGCTAAAAGAAGAAAGGAATCAAAGTGTTGCAGTGGCCTAGTCAAGGTGCGGACCTCAACCTGACCAAAATACTGTGGCGGGATAATTGTGCATAACTGAATACCCACAAACCTCACTGAACTGTAAAGAAGAGTGGTCCAGAATCCCTCCACGATGATGTGACAGACTGGAAGTACAGAAAATGATCACTTTAAGTTATTGCTGTTAAGGGTGGCTCTGCAAGCCATAACAATGCGATGCACTTTGTGTTGTCCAAGTTTCTGTTAAACAAATAAGGACACAGTGTAACATGTCATGTGTTGTTGTTCGTCTGAGGCTGTATTTACCTAAAGTTAAGGCCTGCTTAGGACCAGACAATTTTTTAAATGTTCTGATACAGAAAACTTTAGAATTGGTCACTGCGGTGCTTTCTATTTTACGATGACTGTACACAGATTGAAACATAATTCACACAACTAAGCATGGACAGGCCCAAATGCTCCTTGTCCATCCTCAAGTCTGCACTGTTTAGGGACTGCAGACAGGAAGGATTCAGAGTAAAGACTTAGTAAATGTATTAAATGAGTGTCTCTTTTGGAAGAATTCAAATAAATAAAAATGAAGGTTTTCAGTGTGTTTCTCAATATGAAAGCAAGAGTGGGCATTGTCCAGCCAATGGTTTTCAATTTAGGCATATCAACCAACAAACTGACCAGATGACCTGCCAACTAGTGTAGTAGTGAGCTAATGTTTCTAATATTTTAACTATCTTATTACTTGCAGTCATAGATAACTGGTGTAATATGTAATTTTCAAAATGACGGGGATTTAAACACATAAGAATAGACATAAGTATCTGTTGTCTCTAAAGCCACTTTCATAAATCATAATTAAAACCGCAAACAAAACATCAAAACAGACACATTTTTGTTGATCAAAAGTCTGAATCTTCTCACGATCTAGGCTGAGTCATTTGCATTGACAGCTTAATCATTTTTGCTTCTTTAGTGGTCACCGTGTTCCATGTCCCTTACTAAGACGTGGTGGGCTTCAGGCAGACCAGGTGGAAGTTTTAGGGGCTTTACTTTGCATGTTTCCTCCATTCTAACACAATGATGTGTGATTAAAAAAAAAAAAATCTATTAAAAGCCACGTTTACTATGTGTGGGTAGAAAGAGAAAGTACAGCTCTGTCTCAGTGTGCTAGAGCTGGGGGAGGTCTGAGGGGCTGAGAGCGTTTGAGGTCGATGAGACATTTTACTCGCGCTAAAGAGTAATGGGTTTTTCCCAGCCCTGAACCCACCTTAGTGGTCCCCCATTGTTGCTATTTGCATGACAGAGCTGTTAAACATTTAAGCAAAAACCCTAAACTACAAATTAAGCCGTAGTTAAACAAAAGTGTGGCGTAAACATTGCAAAAAAAACCACTGGCACTAAGGCTTTTCTTTCAGTTGTCACATTCATGTGCCGTCGAGTCAAAAAGTACTGCGCACGGTTCAGTTTACAGTAGGTTTCAGAAGAATCTCTGTGAAGTTTTATTTACTTTGTACTGTATTGCATTATTTTTCACACTTTTTCATAAAACTGCAAATGCTTGTGTGGGTGCATGCATGTGCAGTATGAAGGTGACAATGAATAACTTCCTATGCCTCAGTGACTAAATTATACTCACGCTGCACGGAGCCAAAAGAACTACGTGAGGTCGCACTTTCCTCTGTGCGGGTCTACCACAAAATGCATATGTAGTGCCGAATACTAGAGGATATGTGGCAATATGTACTATTGCAGGCAAAAAGACGTAAGATTATATGAAGAAAATAGTCCTACCTTTTACCTCGGCCTACTTATTTTATCAGTTTTAATAACAAATGCAGGTCAAAAGTTAATTTTTGTATCGACACGATTCCTGAGTCGCCTTTTGACCCCAACTCTATGAACAACTTCCTGAAATGCTTTTTAACCTACATTAGCTGTTAAAGTCTTAGGCCAGATCAATGCTGCTGTAAATGTGAAATCAATTTAGGATTCATTCCCCCAAAGATTTCACCTTTTATCAATGGATTTGATTCAATCCTTTTTAAAGCCTCATTACATGCTTTGTGGAGGTAGATGACAAACGCAGGAATGACTCAAAACCGCAGGCTGTAGGACCAAAACAGTGAGTTAAAGATGCTGAAATCTCTCATTTATTTATGTCCACATTCATCTCTCATCTGTCACCTAGCACACAGTATTTTTTTTCTATTGTTAAGGCAAAAGTATGACAAAGTATTCAAGTATTCCTATAAATACACCTTGTACATATTTGTCTGTGTCAGCTATTTCATGTTGCACGGACTACTGAAACATGCCTAATGTTCTTAGAAGAGAGGAAATAGCCCCTATATTAGCCTTCTGCTAAATTAGACCCCGCAAGCGTAAACTCATCCCACCTGCTCAAGTGTACTCAGGATGTGGTGGTTAGCATGGTATCACAGGCCCCCAGTTTCAGAGAAAACCAAACTCGACCCTGAAACATAAATGCAAAAATATTGCAGGAATATGACCTATATTAAAAAAAATTGCCCCAGCACAATTAAACTTTTAAAACCTTTATGCTCATGCTGAAAGCAACAACACCTACTCTGAAATTTCTATCTCATTTTGTTCTTACTCATGGAAAAAACTAGTCTTCCATTAACAAACAGTCATTAGGGGAAAAAGTTACATGTTAACATATAATATACAACTAATATAATGCATATTTACATCTTATAATATGTACTTGTATTTTGGGTTTCTGTGCACCACAAGGTGTTTTTGTGGCATTTTATGTGCGTCACAAATAATCAGGCTGAAAAGAAAAAACCCCATACAGATTGTGAAATTGATAATTCTCAAATGCAATTACTAGCTATAACATTAGCTTATCTAGAATTTTCGAATGTACGTGAGTAGCAAATGTCACCAGTTATCATAGTGATCAGTCAGAGATGTGTCTGTTCTTCTGCACACCCATAACAAGTAGACTGTTTGCATGAACCTGACTTGTGCATTAAAATAGAAAGAAAAAAACACTGTAGGTTTTACACCCTGATACTAACACGGTACGTGAGCCTCTCTGCTATTTTAGGCGTAAGTCAGCTTTATATCAGAACAAGCTGTTAAGCCAGACCATGTGATGTCCAATTTTCTTTAAAATTACCATGCAATCTCCATAATGGAAATATATAATGTCATGGCATATTAATTTTAGAACTACAGTGAAAGGATAGCAACAACTTCACCTACTTCCAAAGTGCATGGAGAGGATGAGAAACTAACAATGCAGGAACTCCAGCAAGACTTAAAGGTTGCTGAGGGAACAACTTTATTAACTGACCAATGCATTTCGACTTGTGGCCTTCATCAGGGTATTCCTCACCATCCTGACCCATCATGACCCTGATGAAGGCCACAAGCTGAAACGCATTGGTCAGTTAATAAAAATGTTCCTCTTTACCTATAACTACAGTAAAAGAAATATCAGTTACAATTTTAGGTTTTACACTGCACTTTGGCAGTTATGCAGGTGAGGCAACTGAGTTAGCTTAAGTGATTAGGACAGTGATTAGCAGCATAGTTTTGAGTGGTACTACTCTAAGCATGTTGTTGTTTGATTGGTTGAGCAGCATGTTGGAGGATACAGAGACGTGCTAGCTGGTTTAACATCTGGTTAGTTGGTTGTTAATTGTTAGCACACTGCACTGTTAGGTGATGTTATTGTATGGCAAAATTATAGCAACAAGGGAAAAGAAAAGTGAAGAGACTCCTTAGTAGAGCTGCTTTGAGGGTATTGGCAAAGGCAAAGTGATAAAGATCAAAACCACACATACCACCTTCCCTTAACCCCTAGACTGGCATTGAAACTATCACTCAACTTTTAGTACAGATTATTGGTGCAAGGTTTGTGTGATAGCTGGCACAAGTCTGTTTACCATGCCCTATGATGTAAATGATGCACATCTCCAGATTCCTATCAGTGTTTAGCTGCATTTCTATATTGGCTTCCTTCCTGCACATTGGTTATTTCCATTTTTGTACAAAAACAGTGAGACTTAGTAAGAACAAGAGTTCCCAGGAACATTCCTCACCCACATTTTTCATATTTTACAACAAACACAACATTTGCTTAAAAGTAACTTTAATTGATTGTGGGAAAGCTTCAAATATATACCTTTTTAAAACAAACATATTTATGACAATGAAACATGACAAACTGACATTTATATTTATATATATTTATATATTATATTATACTATGTAGCTATAGTATTCTTTTTTTTAACTTTAATGATGAAATATAGCAAGAGCGGTAAAGCTAAGTAGAGTGGCACTGATTTTAGTAAGCTTTAATTTGGGGGGGATTTCTCGGACACATTTTCACTGCTCCTTGTTCCTCCATCCTGCGTGTCCTCTCCCAAAGTGACATTCTTTTGAGGGATCTTTTCTGATGTTGGGGGTGCAGTGGATGTTGCTGGTGTGGATGTTGCTGGAGTGGATCCTGTTGGGGTCGTGTCACTTGCGAATCCCTTTTGCAAATTCTCCCTGTCCACCTTCTCAATTGCTTTTCTTGTCCAGTCAGCGTCTGGTTTGGCACAGATTGTCTTTCCAAGCACGGTCTGTAACCTGCAATTGTTGGTTGGCTATTAATGGCATTGTAATACATTTCTAACATTATTTGTATATACTGGTAGGTGCGAACAGATTTAGAGGCCTCACAGCAAGCCTGCATGTTCTCTCATGTTGTGGGTCCTGGGTCTAGATAGGTGGTCTGCACCTATCTAGACCCAGGACACTCTTACAAAAGAGAGTCTTGATTCTCAAATGCTTCACTTCTTGCTTTTAAAAGTTAATAAAAAAAAAAAAATCACCTCTATTGCATCTAGTGCCATGCAATTAGCTTGTATTGGACATCTCCATGCTTATCAAATATTTTCCCCTGCAGCATCTCTTTACAGAGTGGTTTCTGAAACTCAAAGGCCTTCCTGTGAACATGTTTTCAAAGAATTTCCTCCAGTACAAAGAGGTTTCAGTGAGAACTGCTGACAGGTTTTTGGATCGTTAGGAATGACATGACTACTAAAGTCCCAACTGGCCAATTTAATTGGTATAGTGGTGAAAATCAAAGACAGACACTGTATTTGAATAGTCAAACATGTAGAACCAAACCTCTCTGAATGACTGGATATCACCACAGCAAAATGTGTTTTCATATTATAGGTCATTTATTTGTCATTTTATTGTTATTTTAAAATAGTTGGATGGAGTGTATAAACTTTATTAAATTATATCTATTCCTTTTTTTAAGCAGTGAAGACAGTGAGGTTAAAGTCTGAACGGAAAGCACAGTGTCAGATGTCAGCTGATCATCCCAGAGTTAACACAGAAAGAGGTGGGCATCCATTCCCTCTCACATCTGCACTTACTGTAAGTTTATAGTCATTTTTAATTGAACAAGTATGGTTTTGGAAGCAATGTGGAATATAAAAAAAACTCAATACAGGGCCAGCCAGGAGTTTACAACCAAGAACCTTGTTGTGCCCACCTCTGTGTCACTGCCCGTTATCTATGTATTTTCAAATACAGTGTGAAGATAATAATGAAGCATCTCTTTGGAATGGGGAAGCAAACACCTAGAAAGACCCCAGATGGCCAACAGCTTTGAACCCAGAACCTTCATGCTACATGTGTTTATATTCATAAAATACAAGTTAACATGCAGTGTGAGGTTTTTTATTGAACACTTACTGTACTGCTTTGATGCGACAAGTATCTTCAGACTGAATGTCGTAATTCACAATTCGGTCAAGTGGGACTCTGGTTTTGGACCACACGACACAACAACTGCGTATGCTTATAGGGGCTGAAAATGTCACACACAGAAAAAGTCGCATTAATTTTATCCGTTAAAAACAGTCAGACCATAAAGTAAATGAAAAATTATTTCTTCCTTGCAGTACTCACTTGTACGGACTGAGCTCATCCAGGTAGTGAAACAGAGAAAAGCGGCTAAAACCAGGCTGGGCTGCATCTTTAGTATTCCGCTTTAGGTTTGTTCTTCAGAAGCTGAGCCTCAAAGCTGTCTGCACAAACCTTCACAGCCTGTTAAATAATCTCTGTGCCTCCCTGAGCTTTTATCAGAGTATCGATTCAAATGAGTCTTGCTTACATGGCAGACGCAGTGCATGCGTTCATGGTATTTCCTAGTGTGGTCTTTCTGAGCAATCAGGTTTTGATGTTGATTCTAATAAGAAAAAAAGACCCCTTTGCGCTTGTTCTTATTTTACCAACACAATGGGGTAAAAAAAACCACTGAGTTTATCATTTATAATTAAACTGTTAACAATGCAACAAGTACAACAGCATCAGAAATACAAACTTAAATAATCGTAACTATGTGCATGCACAGAAGCAGATTAATCCACTTCCTTTATATTCAATCTGAAAGCCACAGGTGACCTGCATTTTAGGTGGCATGTGACGTGGTAATTTAAACCGTGGAAAGTTTTCACAGTAGGAAAGTGAGTTAAGATCAGTGAGTGATTGAATTTGAAAAGCATCAGTCTGAGAAGTTTTAGCAGACTGATACTAATGATTACATCACTATGCAAACTGATGATGTAATCGAGTCAGTTTTTAAAATGAGAGATTTGGTTAAATTAAAGTCAGTTTATTATAGTAAATAAAGAGTGAGTAGGTTCAGAAAGCAGAGTTTCCTCATTTGACAAACATTAGAGGTTAGTGTGCAGTTAAAGGTACGAGCAACGACAGCGACCAGAGTATGAATAATTCTAATGACAAAAACACAATATTTGCTGGAAAGTGCTTTATTGGCAGTTAAAAGTGGGAAAACTTTGAAGTACATTTCTGTACATTTTCATAAAAACAATATGAAAACAAAGAATAGGGATATATGGTAATATATAGAGAGATTAATGTTACTTTTATCAGGTACTGTTGATGAAATAAAGCAGGAAGAGTACAATAAAAGAGAGCAACATTTGCCAACTATGATAAGTTTGAAATGTTTTGTGATTTCTCAGACACATTGTTTCTTGTTCCCTCTCCTGGCCTTTTCCTCTGTCCTTTCCTTCTTCTGCACTTCGTCAGAGAGATATTTTTTGATTTTGTGGATGTTCTTGTGTGGATGTTGTTGTGGATGTTGTTGTTGTGGATGTTGTTGGTGCGGATGCTGTTGGTGTGGATGTTGTTGATAGTGAGGATTTTGTTGTTGTAGATGTTTTAGTTGTGGATGTTGTTGTTGTGGATGTTGTTAGTGTGGATGTTGTTGTTGTGGATGTTGTTGGTGCGGATGCTGTTGTTGTGGATGTTGTTGTTGTAGATGTTGGTGCGGATGTCGTTGGTGCGGATGCTGTTGGTGCGGATGCTGTTGTTGTGGATGTTGTTGGTGCGGATGTAGTTGGTGTGGATGTTAATAGGGAGGATGCTTCTGGTGTGGATGCTGGTTTGGATGTTGTTGGTGTGGATGTTGTTGGTGTGGATGTTGTTGATGTGGATGTTGTTGGTGTGGATGCTGGTTTGGATGTTGTTGGTGTGAATGTTGTTGGTGTGGATGTTGATAGTGAGGATGTTTCTGGTGTGGATGCTGGTTTGGATGTTGTTGTTGTGGATGTTGTTGGTGCTTTCTTCTTGTCCACCCACTCCATTGCTTTTATTGTCCAGTCAGCATTGGGATTGGCACATATTGTCTTTCCACGCACGGTCCGTAACCTGTAATTGTTAGTCAGTCATTAATTGCACTGAAATACAGTTTTGACATTATTTCTAAATATATTTTGGCATATTTGGTACATGTTAAGTTTAAAGAAAGAGAGGCTGGTTGGCTCTGTTGCCTCACTGTGTGGCGGCCCTGGATTCAAATCTGGGCACGGTCTGTGTGTAGTTTGCATGTTCTCTCTATGCTCTGGTTTCTCCTGGCTCTCAATAATATTACCGGTAATAGTTGCTTTTCTAGGCCAATGACATTCCCACAAAGAGTTTTTTGTCTAAAAAGTTTCACTTTCCCTATAAAATAAAAGTTAATATTTATAGCAAAATTGTTCCCTCTCAGTTACACCTAGTGTTACGTTGTCGGAGTCCGTTCTTGGTCATCTAGGTCATGGTAGTCATAAGAACTTGAAAAGAGGGCGACTGTACTGCAGTTAAATGAAGACGTTTCGCTTCTCATCTAAAAGGATTCTTTTTCTAACAGTTCAATATGCACTCAGTTTTTAAGAAACTTTTCCTGGACCATCTCTTTGCTTAGAGGGTTAAATTCTTTATTTGTTATTTAATTTATGAAGACAATTTAAAAACATTCAGGTTATTTGATTTTTATTATTTTATACCCATCCATACATTTCAGGTTTGGGAAAAGTACTCTCACCCCAAGTCAGCCTGAGGCGAGAGGCAAAGTGGACTCTGGACAGGTCGCCGGTCCATCACAGGACCACATACAGTCATTCACATGTACATTTACACCTGATGTCAATTTAGAATGACTAGTTACTCAGGCCTGTCTTTGGACTGGTGAAACAAACATCTAGAAAAGACCCCAGCTGGCCAACAGCTTTGAACCCAGAATCTTCATGCTTCATGTTTCATGCTTCATGTTTTATTTTTTATTTTCCCTAAAATACAAGTTAAAATACAGTGTGGGGTTTTATGAACACGTACCATACTGCTTTGATGCGACAAGTATCTTCAGACTGAATGGCATAATTCACAATTCGGACAAGTGGGACTCTGGTTGTGGACCACGAGACACAACAACTTTCTCCAGGTCCTGAAAAAGTCACACAGACAAAGTCACATTAATTTTTACCCTGAAGAAAGACCACACAGTGAATGAAAAGCCTTTTTTCTTTCTTTCCTTGCAATACTCACTGGCAAAGGCCAAGCTCATCCAGGTGGTGAAGCAGAGAAGAGTGGTTACAATCAGGCTGGACTTCATCTTCAGTATTGCGCTTTGGGTTTGGTCTTCAGAAGTTGAGTCTTGATTCTGTCAGAGCAAACCTTTACAGCCTGCTAAGTAATCTTACTCCTTCCTGATTAGATAACGGAGTGTCGAATCAAAGCAGTGTTGCTCACGCAGCAGGCGTGGGGTATATGACGTTTCCAGCTTGTGAAGTTCTCTCAGTCGTTCTGAGCATTACATTTTTGATCTAGCCTCTTATAAAACATAAGCCCCTCCGCTTCTCCCCCACCCAGACCGTTCATCATGGGGGGATAGTCACTATGGCCACATAGTGGGGAAAGGAAATATTGACTTCATCTGTTACAAGCTAAAAATGACAAACAGTCCTTTCACCACAGACCTGCCCACAATGCAACACAAACAGCAGCGTATAGAAATACAAACACACATAAACATAGTTACTTGTACACACACAGAGATACTCATCACTTCCCTTTGTGCTCACTCTGAAAGCCACAAATTGCCTCCACTGTCACTACGAGTTTGAAAAGTTTGCTAGCTTAAAGAAGCATTGAATTTGAGCGTGAATTAATACTGAATGTTAATTAGGAAAGTGGGGATTTCACACAGTCAATCAGTGAATTGAATTCAATGAGTGTTTGAATTTGATTAATTCTTATCTAAAACATCTATGAGAGAATTAAGTCACATCTTTCATCCTGCTGTCAACCACAGAATCATACATGAAAGGGTGGTGCTCCGCTAAGCCTTCGTCAGTAGCCCTTTACACACATGCTATACCCATACAAGAGGTTACATTTATTTTTGCCCTTTCTTGCAATTGCATGGGTGTGTAGTGACTAACATCGCAGGACCGTTAAGCTTAATTTCCTTCTTTTAAATTAACAATAAACCATGAAATCAGCAGTTTTAGCATGTGGAATCCTGGGAAACTGACTTTAAACATCAACCAAATCCTCACAGTCAGGAGCAGAACAGGATTTGTAATTCAACACTGGAAATGCAAAGGATTTAAGAGGACAATGATATTGTCCCTTTTGTAAACTACTATGAACTATAATCATGTCAACATATTGTTAGAACATCTGAAGATGTGTCACAGCTTGGAGTTACATTAGAATAAATTCCCACAAATAAACAAAACAAAGTTTCTGGATATATTACTGAGTTAAATACGTGTTTCTTTTATTTTCAGAATAAGTACAAACATGAGTGGCGTCCCTCACAGCTGCTCGTGAGAGAGACTGCAGGCAGTTTTGTTTCATACCAAAGTAGAACAAACCAGAAGAAAGGGTAAAAGCTGTATTGGAGAGCAGGAAGGAAGGAAGTAGTATACAGGAAAGAGTAGGCATCAATTGTGTGTGCAGGAGGCAGCACATGCCAGTCCTAGAGCATAAAACCAGCATTTCACAACCAGTCATGGAGACCAATAATGTAGTTGTCTCATTTTAAAATTTAAAATGACAAAGAAAAAATGATGGGTGAAATTAAAAAAGGAAATAAGTGAGTAACTACTGTGCTGTATATAGTAGAAGAGGTCAGGGCAATGCATGCAAAGACCACAGAAAACAATGTTTACAAGACACAAAAGAGAAGCATGAATAAGAAGACAGCATAGAATTATACCATGATGGGTTTAATTAAACAGAAGAACATTTGCTGATTTTGGCTTTTCATGTTTTTGCCCTTTTTTCCTCTTTTTGTTTTTTCCCTGTGTTCTTTCCCCATTCTGCCAGTCTTTAAATATGTGTTTTTTTTTAACGCTGCTGGTGTAATGTCACTTACTGTTGCTGCTGCTTAGCTAGTTAGTGGGACACAACATGTTCTTAGTCCATGGAACTACACAGCAGTGTATTTGACAAAACACAATCAGGCTCTGCCCTGTCTCCTTGTCCTTCTGAGGGATGTTTCCTGATGTTGGGGATGCAGTGGATGTTGCTGGTGTCATGTCAGGTGCACATCCCTCGGCATTTAGCTTTTGCGAATTCTCCCGGTCCACCTTCTCAATTGCTTTTCTTGTCCAGTCAGCGTCTGGTTTGGCACAGATTGTCTTTCCAAGCACGGTCCGTAACCTGCAATTGTTGGTTGGCTATTAATGGCATTGTAATACATTTCTAACATTTTTTGTATATACTGGTAGGTGCAATCAGATTTAGAGGCCTCACAGCAAGTCTCCATGTTCTCTCATTTTCTGCGTCCTGTGTCTAGATAGGTGGTCTGTACCTATCTAGACACAGGAACCAATCGCAAAAAAGATTCTTGATCTAAAAAGTTTCACTTCTTGCTTATGAAGGTTTTTTCTCTTTTTCTCTTTTAAGTACTTCTTGTCCACCTTCTGAATAGCTTTTTTTGTCCACACAGCGTCGGGTTGGTGAAAATTATCTTTCCAAGCACGGTCCGTAACCTGCAATTGTTAGTCATTAATGACACTGTAGTGCGTTCAACTAGGGATGGGTATTGATAAGATTTTCACGATTCCAATTCCATTTTCGATTCTGTTTAACGATTCGATTCTTTATCGATTCTCTTATCGATTCTTTTTTTTTAAAAAAAAAGGAGAACACTAAGGTCAATTAGCTTAGAACTTTGTTTTATATCTTCTCTTTGAACAAGATAATTAAAGAAAAGAAATTTAGGAGTAACATGGCCTTACAAACCCAACAGTGACATCTTAAGAGATCCACAGCCTACGGCTCTTCAATGGGGTGTCACAGGGTGCCAGGTTAAAAAATTGTAAATGTAAAATAATAAAATAAATATTCTCCTGTAGCAATAACAAAGTATAACATAAATTATTCTGTAGCAATTACACAAGAATATCCAGTAATGTCCCTGACTACAATTAAACACATTCACTTACCGAAAATCGGTTCCATCTGCTGTGGCAAATGGGTGCAAGCCTTTTACCACAAACTTAGTCACTGCTCGGTGACATTCATCTATCCTGGCCTGAAAGGAGACGCTACCAGTAGACTGCAGCGAGAACTGCCAGCATCTGAGCCAGACTCTGTCTCTCTCATCATGGTCACCTAAATGCACAGTAATGTCAGATTTTGTAATAAGGCAGATCGCGCTAACATAATATGCACTGTTAGTTGATTATTTACCTGCCGCATTAACGGGAGAGGACGTGCAAATGTTACCGCTGCTGCTGGGTTGAGATTCACGAGTCCGGAGCGGAATTAAAAACACGACATTCATTTAAGGTCATCGCGTGTTTTGTTAGCAAATGCTTTTGCATATTCGTAGTGATTCTTCCCTTAAATGAAATATCTACTTTGCAAGTATTGCAAGTTGCCCCATTGTCATCTGTTCTCGTAAAGTATAATCAAACTTTTGAGCGTTTGAGCCGCTTAGGCGCCGTGTTTCCTGCCAGGTAAATGACGCTCCGCAACGTGGTGACGTCATTTGGGGCGACTGGAATCGATAAGGGAATCGTTTGCAAAAATGGCAAACAATTCCAAGGAATTGAAACAGTGGGAACCGGTTCTCAACAAGAACCGGGTTTTGATACCCATCCCTACATCCAACCTGCACAAACATTTGACTACGCAGCCTTCATATTTATGAAGCAGATGTGAGGAAGCAGCGTATGCTACAGACCTGTGGCTTTGACATCTGTGGTCATGAAGTCATTTGAGCGCCTGGTTCTCTCCTACCTCAAGACCCTCACGGCCCCCCTCCTGGACCCTCTACAGTTTGCATACAGAGCCAACAGGTCTGTAGACCATGCTATCAACATGGCTCTACACTTCATCCTGCAGCATCTGGACTCCCCAGGAACCTACGCCAGGATCCTGTTTGTGAACTTCAGCTCTGCCTTCAACACCATCCTTCCAGACCATCTCCAAGGCAAGCTTTCCCAGATGAATGTGCCTGATCCCATCTGCCGGTGGATCACTGACTTCCTGGCAGACAGGAAGCAGCATGTGAAGCTGGGAAAGAATGTCTCGAACTCCCGGATCATCAGCACCGGCTCCCCTCAGGGCTGTGTTCCTTCTCCTCTGCTCTTCTCCCAGTACACTAACTGCTGCACCTCCACCCACCAGTCTGTCATGCTAATCAAGTTTGCAGATGACACCACCGTTATTGGACTCATCTCGGACGGGGATGAGTCTGCCTACAGGAGGGAGGTTGAACGTCTGGTGCCCTGGTGCAGCCACAACAACCTGGTGCTGAATGCCCAGAAGACAGTGGAGATTATTGTGGACTTCAGGAAACACACAGCCCCACTCCCCCCCCATCATCCTGACTGACACCCTCATCACCTCTGTGGACTCATTCCGCTTCCTGTGTACCACCATCACCCAGGACCTGAAATGGGAGCCCACCATCACCTCCATCATAAAGAAAACCCAGCAGAGGATATACGTCCTGAGGCAGCTGAAGAAATTCAACCTGCCAACACAGACAATGATGCAATTCTACACTGCAATCATCGAGTCCATCCTCACCTCCTCCATCACCGTGTGGTAGCCACTATCAGGGACAAACAGAGACTACAGCGTGTTGTGCGCTCTGCTGAGGAGATGATTGGCTGCACACTCCCATCTCTGCAGGACCTGTACACCTCCAGGACACTGGGGCGTGCAGCTCGGATCACAGCTGACCCTTCTCACCCTGGACACAGTCTGTTTGACCTGCTCCCCTCAGGCAGGAGGCTCCGGTCCATTCGCACCAGAACCTCTCACCATGAGAACAGTTTCTTCCCCTCTGCTGTTGGACTCATGAACAATAACCATATGACTGTTCCCACCACTAACACATGACCCTACACTCTCAGCATCATTCCATGTTTGGCACTGATCACCACCTGCACTCATGTATATATCTATCTACTTAGCACTTTTAATTTTTATTTTTATGTTTATTTGAGTGTTATCTGACAGAATGCTTGCACTAAGTACCGCAGCAATTTCCCAATGTTGTAAACCTGCTCAACATTTGGCAATAAAACCATTTCTGATTCTGATTTCTGATTTCTGATTTTGATTCTGATTCTGATTCTGATTCTTATTATTTTGGATGAATGTAATTTCTTTGATATGCTGCTTAGAGAGGGTCATGACTCTCAAAGTGCAGACAATTACAATCGATAAGGGAATCGATAAGGAATTGAAATTGTATGTTTTCTCTGTGCTCTGCACTATCCAAGCCCAAGGCGAAGAATCTTACTTCTTGCTTATA